TTTAGTCATTACATGGCACGGACTCGCCGAGTCCGAAGAACAGACTCGGCGAGTAGTATGAATGTTGCCCGATCATACAGCATGTGGTCTTGCCGAGTTAGGAAGGGTTGACTCAGTGAGTCAGGGGGGAAATCAGAGTGGACAGGTGGACTGAGTCAAGTTGGACTCGCCGAGTTGTTCTTGAGACTCGGCGAGTTGAGTCGTGGTGGCCCCACAACTCATGCCAGGAGGGACTCGTCGTGTTAGGAGAATACTCGATGTGTCAAGGGAGGATTTCAGGGAAATTAGTGTATACGCTCAGACTCGCCGAGTCGCTATATGCACTCACCGAGTCCGGTCAAAGTTGACCGTTGACCGTTGACCAGGGTTGATTTTTGTGACTTATCAAGAAGTAGCCAACCTTAGTTGGGAAAGTGTTAATTAGAGTGGTATTGTGATTTAGGAGGACTATAGCTCGGGAGATCGAGCGCTAGTGATTTCAGGACTTACGACTTATCGAGATACGCGAGGTGAGTCTTCTCACTATACTTTACCTTGAGTAGGTAACCAGAGTTATGTGATAGAGTATTTGTATGCTATGTATGTTATGTGTTGTACTGCATTATTTCTATGTGATTTATGCTGTGCATGTTTACAGAGTTAGAACCTGAGGGTTCACAGAGTTTGGGTGCACGGACCCACGGAGTTATAGCCTCGAGTGGCTAATATGTGTTATATGTGGTATTTTGGGGAACTCACTAACCTTTGTGCTTACAGTGTTTGATGTTATTGTTTTAGGTACTGGTGACGACCGCGGGAAGGCGCCGGCTTGATCCGTACACACACACGGAGTTTATACATTTCTGATCTTGGGATTTTGTATTGACTTGAATTGGATAATTAATATGGTTGTTTTATGAATATTAAATGAATTATGTTTTACGAAAATTTGAAAATTTTGTTTTGAAATTCACGGTGTTACAAATCATATGTAATTCACATATGAACACATGTAAATCACAAATGAATTACATATGAATTACATGTGATTCACATGTAATTCACATATGAATCACATATGAATTATATGTGATTGACATGTAAATCACAAGTGAATCACATATGAATTGCATGTGATTCACATGTAAATCACATATAAATTACATTTGAATCGCATGTGATTTACAAGTGAATCACATGTTAATCACATGTAAATCACATACGTACTTTTTTAAGCGTTTTTGCATCAATCAATTTTTTTTATAATTTTTTTGTAGATTTGGAAGAGATGGTGAACATTGAAGAGGTGAAAAATGATAAATTGAAGAAAATATGCAAATATTGACACGAAGACATGAAAACCCTTTAAAATTTTATAGCATTTTTTTGTTTTTTTTATATTTTATTATGTATCGAATAAAATATTTATTCTATTGTGTTTATAGATTAGTAAATAAAATGATTTTTCTTATGATTTTCTTACAAATATTATAGTATATGAAATACTCGGATATGCATTTGTAAAAATATGCATATATGTACTTAAAATGTTGATTTTTTTAGTTAAATAAATATAGTAGTTTTTAAATATTGTAGATTTTTTTTAAAAAAATTTATTGATTTTTAAATGTTTTTAAAAAAATTGCAAGTTTTAAGAAAAAAAAAATTCATAAATTCATGTTTTCAATAAAAAATTTAAAAATCTGCATTTAACAAAAACGAGAAAAATATTATTTTTTAAAAAAATCCTAAAATTTGATTTATTATATATATTTTTAGATATTTCTATTAATATTTCTAACAACATAAAAAATTAAAATTAAATAAGATTGATAAGATGACGATCATGTCCTTAATGAATTAATTTTGATCTAACACTCCACTTTTAGTTCTCGGACTCTTGGGAAACTATAAGTTCTCAATTGATCTCACCACTATATATATATATATATATATATATATATATATATATATATATATATATATATATATATATATATATATATATATATATATATATATATATATATATATAGGTTCAGGTTCATTTGAGATCATTCTAATTTTTTGAGACCGTGAGACCAAATCTAAAAATAATTTTAAAATGCAAAATAAATGGAAAAATCCAAAAATTCTTTTTTTAAATATTATTTTCGGAACTTGAATTAACTAAAAAAAATATTAAAAAAATAAAAAAAATAAAAAAAAATCCGTTTTTTTTTTTAAACACGTGAATATTCTAAATAGAATATTACACTGACACATTCTAAAAAATAATTTTAAAATAAATGGAAAAATCTAAAAATTCTTTTTTTAAATATTATTTTCGGAACTTGAATTAACTAAAAAAAATTAAAAAAAAAATTAAAAAAATTCTATTTTTTTTGAAAAATACGTGAAATATTCTAAATAGAATATTATACTGTACATATTCTAAAAATAATTTTAAAATACAAAATAAATGGAAAAATCAAAAAATTCTTTTTTTAAATATTATTTTCGGAACATGAGTTAACTAAAAAAATAAAAAAAAAATTAAAAAATAAAAATAAAAAAATGCGTCTCACGGTCTCACAAAATATAGGTGGTCTCAAATGAACCTAATCCTATATATATATATATATATATATATATATATATATATATATATATATATATATATATATATATATATATATATATATATATATATATATATAACGTTCAATAAAAAAAATATTTCGAAAAAATAGCAATGCTACAAGAATAATTAAAAAGAAATTATCTCGCATAATAAGATCTGTACCAAAATGACAATATAATCAATCAATATAATACAAGTTTATCAATGTTTATACAATCAAAATTTGACAATTTAGCCAAAGACATGTATATAAATATATTTAAAAAAACAAACTAAATCAATTGATTTGAGTTGTACTATGAGCCTCGGTAATGTTTATCATTAACTACAAAAACCATTATAAAGAAAAATTCTAAATGTAAGATAGAATCATCATGAAAAAGGTACTAAAGTTCATAGTAACTTTTAACTCTCACATTGTTTAATCATCAAACACAATATTGAAATATATATATATATATATATATATATATATATATATATATATATATATATATATATATATATATATATATATATATATATATGTTTTAAGTCTCAAAAACAAAAAGAAGATAACCACAAACTGAGAAGAAGAATGTATACATGTAGGCGGTGGGTGGGTGAGGCAAAGCGACAACAAGGGTGAAATAGGGCAGAAACGATACTCTTCGGCAACGCAACTGATGCTTCTTTCATACCTTGTATCTCAGTTTTCTTTTTAACTTTTTGAAGATATTTTTTCTCTTTGAACTTTCACGATCTTCTTTTTTCTGCAACTTCTCTCCTCCTATTTTGCCTCCTGTTTATCTCTTTAGTTGTAACTGATCTTTAAAACACATGATCGCTCTTTACAACTTTATTGTCATATTCGCATTTATGACCGAAAATACTTATTTAGTCTTATATTAATAATTTTAAATTTAAATTTTATTCTATAGTTCTAGAGAACTGTTATAATAGATACGTTATCTTCTCTTTTAACCTTTTCTAAATCCTCAAGGACCAATAGTAGTATTTACCTTAAATTAATAATTTGATTTAGAATTTTTTGATATTATAAGGCAAAAAATAAGGGAGGCCATGGTCCTATGGCCCCTAAAGGAATTCGCCCTACGGTTGATCCCCTTTCCATCTCTAATGCCAAACAGACAACTTTAAATTATCTTAATGGTGACTTCGTGATGAACTTTCACTAAGATACATTTTTCTATGGTGTAGGGTTGCATTACTATAATTGATTTGTATATAGAAATCACAAGCTCAAAGTTTGGGTTTGGTGGTTTACAAAACCCCTTATTGGCTATTACTTTGTAATTGATTTCAATTTTTCCTAGATGTTTACTAGTTTTTATAATTTCAGTAGTATCTTACTTTTAATTTATTTTTTGCATCCCAATTATTTTTAAACATTAATTTGATTATATTATCAAACAAAACTTCGAATCTCAATTAAATTATATAAATAAATCTAAGCAAACATATGATGTCAATGTCAAAACCAATTGTTAACAATATATTGAGGTTTTGGAGCCCATAACATCTTAGAAGCTGTAAAACGGTGTGCAAACAATTACTCAGTGATTCTATTTTTGTCTTTTTAGATACATGATCCGTCCATAATTAGTGATAAAAGATTATAAATCGTTGAACGTGAACTTTCCTTATGAAGTAAACCATAATAACTTAACTAATTAATACATATCTATTTATTTATGTTATGAAAAACTATATACTGTATTATCTATTTTTTCTTTCTAGTTATCTTATTCATTTAAGATTATGTTCTCTTAATCTTCTTTTTGATTTTGATACTTGTTGGTCTAATGAACAACAGGATAAATAGAAAAAAAATGTATAGATCTTTCATAAAAATATTATTATATAATATATCTAAAAGACATATATCCGTTAACGAATTAAACATACATCACGATTGATTTTAGCAAAGCTATATCATTTGCTATTTCTGTCATCTGTACTTATCTATATTTGTTTGGACGCAGATATGCATAAAAATATAAAATATATTTATTTTTACGACATTAGATATGCATTAAAAATACGTCCCTGTTTACTTTTACACAGTTTTTGTTATTCTATAAAGGAAGAGAAGTTGTATCGCATGCATCGATTGTTGTACATTCCGCATGCAGTTTTGGTATACAGCGTGTTTTAGACCACAATTTGCAACAACTAAAAAATGTCCGACGACTAATTATCTCATTTTTTGTTGTCGGCTGCGCCGATTAAAAAAAAAAACTCGAATATTTTTATATTTTATTCTTTTTTTTAGATCCACTTTTTGTATAAATTCCCACATGATTTCAACGAATACCTCCGTACAATCAGAGATCCCTAATATCGGTTTTCTCTTCCCACGTATTATTCCACTTGTAAATCCTCCAAAAACCCCCAAATGGGTTACCTGTTATCTCCGACATCACCCGCCGGAAAATGGATGGGCTTTGTCACCGCCGTGTGGGTTCAAGCCATATCTGGTAATAATTACACCTTCTCAAACTATTCCGACGCCCTTAAGTCTCTAATGGCACTCACTCAGCTCCAACTCAATAATCTCTCCGTCGCTAAAGACGTCGGAAAAGCGTTTGGGATCCTCGCTGGTCTTGCCTCCGACCGTATATCACCTTCCGCCCTCCTTCTCATTGGTTCAATTGAAGGTTTCATTGGTTATGGCGTCCAATGGCTCGTCGTTAGCCAGAGAATCCAACCTCTTCCTTACTGGCAGGTAATTATAAATAGTACTTTTTCTGGTCTAGCATTCCGTCGAACAGTTGGTGTGCGTTTGATTTAATTTGTATTCTTTCTAAAACCTCACGTACATATCGTTAAACAGTAAAGATATAACAGTGTTCAAGACTTCAAGTCATGCATTTTGTCGAACTGTTGATTTGCGTTTGATTAATTTTGTGTTTAAAAACAGATGTGCATATTTTTGTGTATGGGAGGAAACAGTACGACATGGATGAACACTGCGATTTTAGTAACTTGCATTCGCAATTTCCGGAAGAACAGAGGTCCAGTTTCCGGAATCCTTAAAGGTTACGTCGGATTAAGCACTGCAATCTTCACTGATATATGTACAGCTCTCTTCAACAACGATCCAGCACGTTTTCTCCTCATGCTAACTGTCGTTCCCTTTGTCGTCTGTCTCTTCGCCATCGTCTTCCTCCGTGAAATTCCACCGTCCTCCACCGCCGCGGAAGAAAAATCCGAAACTCGTTACTTCGCTATATTCAACGTCCTCGCCGTCTTCATCGCTGTTTACTTACTAATCTTCGACATCACCGGAGAACATGGCCTTTCACTCTCACGAGCATTTTGCATCCTTTTACTCGTCCTTTTAGCTTCTCCTTTTATCAGTTCCGGTGTACCTCGCGATTCAAAACCTAATCCGTTCAAACCACAAAACCCTAGACGTAGAAGCAACTGCAAACACAACAACCGAACCTTTGCTTACACAGCAAGAAGAACAAACCACCGAGACTGTGGCGGCGGTGGTAGATGAGTCAAAGGCAGCGTTAACGGTGGTGGAAAAGATGCCACCGGTTATCGGAGAAGAACACACGGTGTTTGAGGCGTTGCAAACCGTAGATTTTTGGATTTTGTTCGTATCGTTTCTCTGTGGGGTAGGAACGGGTCTTGCAGTTCAGAACAATATGGGTCAAATGGGTCTGGCCTCGGGTACGCTGACGTGTCAATATTCGTTTCGCTGACAAGTATTTGGGGCTTTTTCGGTCGGATCGGATCCGGGTCGATTTCGGAGTATTTCATCAAGTAAGTTTCTTGATCCACCACCCTTCTCTCACTTCCATTTTTCAAATCATAATTATTAAACTAAATCTAATTATAAATCTACTATTAAAAATATTAACTTATAAAAATAACTTAAGTCTTAAATTGATTTGTTCTCACATAAATATACCGAAACTGATTATGTGAAAAAAGGTCAAAACAATATAAATTATAATTTTACAGTTGGTAAATTAAGGACTTTTTACATAAAAGTCCTTAAGTTATACAAGTGTTATCAGTTTTGTCTTGTGATGATTTTTTGTTAGTTAATGTTAAAATTTGCTTAAT